GTGAAAAAGGGTGGGACATCTGGATGGAGGTCGTTAGAAACCAGGCTAGTCTGTCTCGCACCCAGCTTAAACAGAATGTCCTCTATATTCTCATCTGTAGTAATACTCAGGAGTTAGAGGCTTCTAGGACCGTTAGACAGAGAGCTGGAGAGCACATCTCCCTCCTCTCTGAAGGAGAAGTAGAGAGAAAGAGAAGAGGGGAGGGGAATGTTGCGCAACAACAGGGTCGCCACAGCGAGTCATCCGTCTCCATGTAACCCTATCTTCTGCATCTTCTTCTCTTACACCAACTACCTTCATATCCTCTTTCACTTCATCCATAAATCTCCTCTTTGTTCTTACTAATGCAGCCACAAAGGGGGCCATTTTGTGTCTTTTGTGCGGGTCCCATGCCCGGATAAATGCAGAGGGTTCCATCAGGGAGGGCATCTGGCGTAAAACATTTGACAAATCTGACATGCGAGTCAAGAATATGATCTCCTCAGGAATGTATATAGTGTTAAATTAAGCAACATTCACTTAAGCCACTAAAACATTTACTTTTTACATTTCTTCACTATCAGATCCAACAACTGGAAATGATTTACATGTATTGCACAGAATATGTTTCATACAGAATGTTCCTTTTCGAAGTAATGGCAAATGTCTGCATTAACGTGCATCATGTCAATAATTTATTCTTTAAAGGTCCTTAAAATACTGTGATGTTTTTTTTTTTTAAATGAGAGTTGTTTCAGGGTCTCATTTGTCTTGGGCTAAGATTAGATTCACCTAATCTGGATTTATTCTAAGCAGAGAATCATTTTACTGAGGGCAAATTGTGAACTGCTTCTAATAAGGTCTTATTTTGAAAACTCAAAACCATCTCTTTTATATTTTATATCGACTAACCCTATGTGCTCTTTTTTTTATCTTTCAGTTAACCCAATCTATTGGACAACCACCACCAGGGGTAGGAAACTGCTTTTCTTTAAGTTTGCATGATTTCTGTCTGTCGCTGTCAGTGTGCAAGAACTTTGATTTGAGGGCACAAACAAGCATACAGATTCCTAAATGGAGCCTAGTTCTGTTTGCTAAGTCACTGTAAATGAAGATATTCTCATTAGTCAAGAATGAAACAAGAAAGCATTCTGGATCCAACCACTGGTTGCTGCCTGTGCACACACTATTCACACAAAGCTTTGGATATTTGGCTTCTGGGTGGAATTTCAGGATGAACCTAAAATCCGCTGTAGCCGTTCCAGATTGACTTAATGTGACCTTCTTTAAACTTATTTTTTCCCTAAAGATTGTATTGGC